ACATTGTAATTGGCTTACTGTTTAGCTCAGAAATACTGTTTCAGTACTATCAGTTATGATAGCTTACATTTAAGGGTATTTTACTTTGTATGTATAGTTTCAGTTCTTATAATTTTAAGAATCAGTTTGCATGCTTTTTTATGTAAAGCCTGCCGCACACGAGAGCAAACTGCTGAGCAAACGGCCTCGAACGACCGTTTGCTCAGCAGTTACGTCGCTGTGCAGCGCCTGATTTTCACATAGTTTTCCACCTCACGGGGGTAAAAACTCACCGTGTGCTGCCGGCTGAGCTGAAATATTCTAGTGATCAATCAAAGTGCATTTTCCGCTCACATGACTCCTCAGTGTATTCAGATGCAGCTCCCTGCCCTGTCTGCATGTCAGAAAAATAAAGATCAGGTACCATGCAGATTGATGGGCCCACTGTTTCCACTACCCTCTCGAAGGATTCAGGATCCAGGCGGATGTACTATCGGAAGGATTCTGGGTCTTCCAGGTGCATCTCTTGGGGTAGATGGGCATAAACTCCTTGCCTGGCCCTTCCTTCCAGCCACCGTACCTATACCTTCCTAACCTTGAAATGACAGTGGCGGCGACGCCTCATCAACAGAAAAAAGTAGAGGCATTTCCTCTGTTTCCAGCTCTGTCTCCGCCTTGTTTATTTTTGGACATGCAGACAGGGGGCTGCCATCTTTGGGTCAGAGAACGCTTCGATTGGCCACTAGAATATTTCAGCTCAGCCAGCAGCTCACGTAGTGCGCACACGGCGAGTTTTTACCCTCCGTGAGGTGGAAAATATCAAACCAGTCAGATATTCACCTCAGCGGGAAACTCAGAGAAAATCAGGCGCCCAGAGTGAGCAAACAACCTTGAATGACCGTTTGCTCAGCAGTTTGCTCTCGTGTGCGGCAGGCTTAAGATTAACTAACCAGATTTTACAGTGTATATTTACCAACTAAAATGTTTTTTTATGTTTATACAAACAGTAGTCAATAAATAGATCAACCTTCCGAAAATCAAATATTCTGGTTGTTCATTTTCTAATTTGACATTTTTTTACAGTGCGATAAAAAAAACTTGTCTTAAAGATTTTAAAAAGTTTGAAACTTTTCTCAAAGAGCCTGAATTCACAAAAGAGCCTGTGTGAGAATAAAATAAGAGACAGGAAGTAGAAATGGAGCAACAAATAAGGGCTTATCAGACACAGTTTTTTTTGTCCCTGTGATCTCATCACGTATGTGCTGCTGAGGACCAGGATGATCTCCAAGCACGCTGCTGCAGGAATCACACTTCATAGAGACGCTGCTGTCATCTTAACTGCAACATTTACATTTTAAAATAATTTGAACGTGTCTTTTTGACATCTAAACTAAAAACGTTTAATGTTTGAAATCTTAGCTCCTTCTTCCTGCCAAAGTAAATTTAGCCTAAAGTTGTGTCGACTTTTACGGGGTGTGCAAATTATAATCCTACAGCGACTGCCTCATTTTCTCACACAGGCTCTTTTTTCCCTCCTTTTGCTCCTACACGCACACACACACACACACACACACACACACACACACACACACACACACACACACACACACACACACACACACACACGCACGCACGCACGCACACACACACACACATACCGTCCTTCTATTATTGGACTACTGTCCCCAAAACACACACTCTGCTGACATGTAACACTGTAGTTTGATCCAGACCTCCCGTTCATTTGTTTAGCCATGAAGGTCTATGAAGTTGATACGTGTTTACATATTTGTTCACCCTTTCACTCTTTTCCAGTAATCATAGCTGCTGGCTTGACTTGTGTGTGTGTGTGTGTGTGTGTGTGTGTGTGTATGTGTGTGTGTGTGTGTGTGTGTGTGTGTGTGTGGGTGTGTGTGTGTGTGTGTGTGTGTGTGTGTGTGTGTGTGTGTGTGTGTGTGTGTGTGTGTTACTCTCACTGCTGAATTACACAACTCTTTCCACCCTGGGGCAAGAGAACTGCTCAGATGTGACCTGATGATTTTATTGCATCAACAGCCCCCCCCCTGCCCCCCCCCTGCCCCCCCCCCCCCACACACACACACACACACACACACATGCACACACATGCACGCACACAAAAACTTGTGTCTCTGCCTCTCATCCACCGCTTTTTTTTTTCTTTTTGTCTCCACATCTGCTAATCTGTTCAGGGAATAGCGAAAGACCGAGTTTTCCAAACCTCTGTGCATTTACGTGTCATGCAATTCATCACCGCCGGAGTCTTGGAAGAGCAGAAGTTCTGAGAAAGTCAGACTTGGACCTAGAAGTGGACCCCGAACCCCAAATCAGATTACAGGTTGCTCAACCAGTAGCTCAGAGCAGGAAGTGGGTTTATAGGAGGTTTGGGGGCTTGACTCAGAAAAGAACAAGAATGTTTCTCTTATCGAAGTCTTGAAGGCAAAATCAGCCGGATCTACATCTTTACTTAGTTGAAAAAGGCAAAGGGAACCTCTAAATATGACCTGCATGAATCTGGAAATTTAATAAAATAGTGAAGGGAACTGCTAGTTTGCATAAACACAAACCGTCTGAGAACAGATGAGCTCATCGCTTCTCTGTCGTTGTGAGCTTGCCACCGTTTGATTGAGCCGAACAATGCAGTTCACCGCTATATGGCCGAAAATGACTCCTTGTATGAATAGGATGACACAAGCCAAGATGGTTGGAGGAGGCCTCAGATGCTCCTACCCCTCCATCCTGCTCCTGTTACAACACAGTCACGGGGAAATGATTCAAGAGAAACAGACGTAGTGTATCAACTTCTCAGTTTTACAGTCAAATCCCGAAAAGAGCAGCTTCTCCTGCTTTTGCTGAGGCCTTAGAAGTCAATCATGCATGGGACACAACTCTGTAAGCACGGGGCTGTCTGCAAAGCCATTAGAGCTGTTCGGACCCGATCATGCCCTCAGGTCTTTGTGTTTCCATCACGGTTCATCTCTGACTGATCATGACAGGGAGCAATGATGGGCACCAAGTGAAAGGGAATTCTCTCTGGCTACTTGTCATTTCGTATTAGCTCGACTTAACTTCACCCCAAATCTGTGTGACTGTTGCCACCCATTATCGAGGACAACAGAAGGTGTACAATGTCATTGGTGCATTGTGCATTCCTTGCTTATTTCAGTGCAAACAATGTCTAAAGTCTGAAAACTACTAACATCATCCCTATTCAAACAGTCAGGATTAAAGTAACTCAAAAACCCCAAAAAGTTTAACTTCTGCAGTTATTTAAAAATTTTGAAGCCCCGCAAGTGAAAGCAATATAAATTAAGTGGTAACAAATGTGAAACGCAGGTTTTTATATGATTTATACTCACCATTTGTGTGAAATATAAGAAAATAATGAGAGGTTGCATGTTAATATGCCCTGAAAGTAAGAGTTATGGCTTTTTGCCTGGGAAAGTTGTTAAGCATCAATCTCAGAGAAAGAGCACTTGAATTTATTACTCCAGTAGAAGAAGAAATAAAAAAGGAAACATCTGTGCTTGCAGGAAACAGGTGTGGTTGGTGAGATTCAAGTAAGAAAAATTCATGTTTTTCTTACTTATGAGAAAATGGCGTTTGAATATGGCAGACAGAACCGGTGGATACATTAATCTGGTGTTGAGCGCTTTCACAGATCTCATATGTTTGATTAGTTTTTAAAGGGACTTTTGTGGCTTCAAAGAAAGCTCATACAGTTTTGTCTTATTTATTAATCAGTCATGATCATAAAGTCTTGACAAACACAAATTTGTGTCCGGATCATCGTCTATTCATTACTCTTCACAGGGCGAATGTCAACCAGACCTCAGAAATGAGGTCTAACTTCCCATCGAGCCACTGTCCTGCTATGACTTTTTCCTCTTCTCATGCTGTTTTTGTTCCACTTGGGCTGTAAAAGAAATTGCATCAAAACCCAAAAAGACAGAGCACAGGGGAACGAAACACCGTCGTGTTTTGGGATCATCAAGCATTACTTGAGCCTTCTTTTAAGGATGACAGGTGTGAAGTGCAAGCGGTGAGTTTAAATCAAAGTAAAGTTGAGATAAAAGGTGAAAATGGTACGGCTTTAAATTATTTTAGACACTAAAAAGTTCCTTCACACAGAGATAAATGTGTTTGCTACTGCAGCAGTTTCTCTAGATTTCTGGCTATTTAAGTACAGTGATGAAGTACTTTGTTATATTCCATCACTGTTTGAATACAGTTACATAAATGTAATGGTTGTTACGTTAAAACTAAATAACCTTTTACTCTTTACATTTAAGCAATTAGATTTAGTGGAACCAGTTGACGTATTTTCCATCCATCCATCCATCTTCAGCTGCTTATCCGGAGTCGGGTCGTGGGGGCATCAGCCTAAGCTGGGATGCCCAGACTTCCCTTACCCCAGCTACTTGGGCCAGCTCTTCCGGGGAATCCCAAGGCGTTCCCTGGCCAGCCGAGAGACGTAGACCTCCCAGTTGGACGTGCCTGGAAAACCTCACCAGGGAGGCATCCCGGAGGCATCCTGACCAGATACCCAAGCCACCCCAACTGACTCCTCTCGATGTGGAGGAGCAGCGGATCTACTCCTAGCCCCTCCTGGATGATCGAGCTTCTCCCCCATCTCTAAGGGAGAGCCTAGACATCCTGTGGAGAAAACTCATTTCGGCCACGTGTATCCGCGATCTTGTTCTATCGGACACTATCCAAAGCTCATGACCATAGGTGAGGGTAGGAACGTAGATCAACTGGTCAGTCGAGAGCTTCACCTTCCAGCTCAGCTCTCTCTTCACCACGACAGACCGGTACAACGCCCGCATCACTGCAGACGCAGCACCAATCCGCCTATCGATCTCACGCAGACAGCTTGGTCAAGTAAATTCAATCTTTCAGTTCTTAGAGTGCAGACACATACTTGATCACATACAAGGTTGAAATACTACGTATATAAACATTTCAAATTATTTTAAATGATAAAAAAATGCAACCCAGACTAATACTGATTTTCTTTATGATGGCGATTCTCTTCCCTGGGAGTGAAACAATCACTTTACGTCGTATTACGACAAGTTACATTATAGACAAAATCTGCTATTAATGTAAAGAAATCCCATGATAAAAATGAGGTTCGTAACACTTATTCTCTTCCAGTAAATTATTTATTGTCCAAAAGAAAAAAAGAAAAACCTATTAGGACTAAGAACATCCAGTGAATGGCAGACAAGTTCCCCTCTTCTCCTTTCTGTCCATCCGCCCAAGTAGATGCAGGGAAAAGGCCATTGCTGCTGCCTGGCCAGAAAAAGAAAAGCTTGGCTCGACGTCTTAGTTCATTGACTTTCCATTGCAAATCCAACAGGCATTCTGTGTCAGCTCTCCTTCCCTCTGACCACAGCTATGGTTTCGGCTACGGCAGCGAGTCTGCCCATTCTCCTTATGTGTTTGAAGATAATGCCCACAGTTTGGAAAGACAGGAACTTAGGGAATTTTCAAGAAAAAAATCATGCAACTTGGAGGAATTCTGACCATTCAGGAGAGCATTTTCTGTATTTATGACTCTTGAGAAATTTTCACACAATGTTAAAACACTGGCTAGAGTCAAAATTTAGAATATCACGATTGACACTGCAGAGGTGGTGTAGCCACTCAATAATGTGTTCAATTTAAATCAAACATTGTAGTCCAACAAGCCAGAACATTGTATCAATTAGAAACCTGATTCAAATCCTGGATAAGCCCCCAATTTGTATTGTTATTCTTTTGGTTACAACATAAAATGAACAGTGGACACATCGCTGGCTTGTTTAAGAATTAATTATTACAATCTGTTGAAAGCATCAACAAACCAACACAACCAATCAGCCAACTGTCCCAGAGGTGACGTCACCAAGGAGGCTGTAACTGTAACTTTATGAAGCATTTCATTCATTTAAGAGGCATTTTCCTACATCCTTCATCACACTCAGCTGTTCTCTGGGAACGCTGGCACTAGATGTACAGCTTAGATATATATTTAATCTATTTTTTTTTTCATTTCGCATTTTAGGTGTGTTTAAGTTTGGTTTGCGTTAAAAAATACTTTTTATTCAGACCTGACTAGGGAAATACAAGAAGATAGTAGGCCAAAGAAGAATATCTACATTTTTAAGGAAAAAAATCTGTCTTATAAAAGCATGTTTCCCTCCAGAGTGTTGTCAGTGTGGCCACATGGTCAGTTCTTGTCATCATCAGGGCTCAGAGTCTAGAAACATCACACATAGGCTGAGTCAGTGAAGACATGCGTTACAACCTGTCGTTTGTGTGTCCTCTCAGCTACATTTACAGGACTTGACAATCATGTTGGAGAGCTGCTCCACTTTTGGAGTTCGTCCAGAGTAATAGAGTATCGTGAGGGGTTCCAGGTCCTGGGGAACGCAGCATGGGGAGGCTGAGGCAGATGGATTCAGAGTGTTGTAAAGACTCAGCAGCTGTTGAAAAACAAAATAGAGGTTAACAAAGTTTACAGCAGTATCTTTTCTTTACTGTCCTCTGAGTTTGAAGTCCTCCTTACCGAGCTATGTGTCATGTCTGAGCTCCTCAGGTAAGGGCATGGCCCCGAGCAGTAGTTGGCATCATACCCACTTGGCTCATGGATCCACTTCCAGTCCAAATCCCGTCGGAAATCTATGTGGAGACGACGAACGCAGCAGCTCTCCTCTATGTTTCTGTGACCAGGACACATGAATGTCATGTAAAAAACCTCCAAATATTTAGCAAACCTAATCAGGTTTGTGTTCACGAGTATTAGTTTAATTCATTCCTTACGAGAAGCAGTAGTTTGTGTCCAGCGCTCTTTTCCGTCGGCGTGATGACTGAGTTTCCAGGCGGTGAGGTGGGATCATCATCAGGATGAGGTGAGGAAGATACTGCTCCTTGCTCTTCTTCAGGTGATCCAGGTCCAAGCGACTGTACTCCTCTTCTCCATCAACACCTTCAACAACAATGATTCATCAATGACACCTTTTACTTTCATCCAGTTATGGTTTAATTCACAGTTTAATGGCATAAGATGATGAGATGAGATAAAAATGATCATCAAAGCTCACCTTTAAATTTCACCTCCAGCGCTTCGTTTTCATTGTCAATGATGTCACCATTTGGACCGAAGGTGTGGCAGGGACAGTGGACACTGATCTCCAAACCCAGATTAGATCCTAAAGACAAACAATTATAGAAAAGATCTGATGTTCTCTTAATGAATGGGTTTGTATTTATTATGCGAATGATGTGTACCTCTGTTTATCAGCCATTCTCGCACCGTTTCAGTTACGTCGAAGGAGACCCATTCTGGAGAACTTCTGGTCAAAACGACCTTTGCTCCAATATAGCGCTGTTTCCTAACGTGTTCATTTGGCCTCAAAATCTGCAAAATAACCAGAGACAGTTGAAAGCTTTAATGTCTTATGGTAATTTTATATAATTCTTTATTTCTGTGGCAGACATGCAGAAAAGTCTGTTTGACAAATAAAGAAACTTTTAACATATTTGTAACCCAAAGTGAAAACTAATGCTTTGTATACACCCGTTGTCATTTTGATTATTTTCATCAGTTATTAGTTTAGTCTGACTAGCATAAGGCTATATAAATTGATGTTCCTATCTTTTTTAAGGTGTTAAACAGCTCAACTGCATGGAGTCTGATGAAAAATCAAAAATGTATTGGCTGTTTTTTAATATGCGTTCTTGTCTGGGCTTGTGTACTCACATACTAGTGAAGCGTTGTCAGCCCAAGTGCTGTTTCAATCCAAGCATCATGGCAAGTTTGCTCAAAATTCTCCGCCCATTGTATGGAGGATGCATCAACGCATCCTTCTGCAGACTTGGGCCGGTAAAGTATCCCATGATGCATTGCGTCTCAAACCATTATCCACCAAATGGAAAATTACAGAGAAGAAAGCTCATAATTGTAGTGATTTTATATCGATATACATGTAATTAGGTCTAAATAATTAAATATAAAGTTGTGTGTAACTTGTACAAGTAGCTGTATATATTTGTTTCTTTTTTTCTACCCTTAGTAGTATCGCAAAATGCTAATTACTAACCCACAATCAAAATAAAATCAGCCTTAAATATCTCTGTCTTGATGAAAAAGAGAAGTTTTTCTACATTTAACACTGGTAAACTGGTATTTGGTATGATTTTGGTTAATATCCCTCTAAACTGTGTAATATCAGGTGTTATAATAATAATAATAATAATAATGCATTGAACTTATATAGCACTTTTCTAGACACCCAAAGACACTTTCACACACTCTCACATTCACACACTGCTAGTGATGGTAAGCTACTTGTAGCCACAGCCGCCCTGGGGAGGTCTGACAGAGGCGAGGCTGCTATTTGGCGCCATCTGCCCCTCTGACCACCACTAACACAGGCAAGTTGGGTGAAGTGTCTTGCCCAAGGACACAACAGCAGGATCCCCCTGGCGGGAGCTGGAATCGAACCCATGACCCTCCGATCATGAGGCAACCCGCTCTACCACCTGAGCTACTGCTGCCCCAAGGTGTTGTGCAACAATGTAATGAGGATGTGATTGTGAGTGTGTATGTGGTATATGTTTTATTTATTCATTTAATTTTATTACTTGTTTTTATCACTTTTATGCACCATATGAGATAGCGCTACTTTTTAATTTTGTTGACAATGACAATAAAGGAAATCAATTCTATTCTATCAATTTTGATTTAAGGTGGACCAAATATTATACAAATAAAATGTGTTATTTTGTTATTTAAGGGACAAATTCGACCCCCCCCCCCCCCCCCCCCCCCCCCCCCCCGATTTTCAACCATAAAAAAACAGCGCTTGTTGCTCATTCTCCAGTACTCGGTGGAATGGACTTTCTGCTGTAGTTGCCAAGAGCGTTCTTGAAAAGTGCACAAGAACGTACTATAGCATGCTTGGGTACTGAGAAATGGCCATTTTCTTTTGTGTTTGTTGAGTTCACTTTACTTCCTGTTTTTTTTTTATGTGAGTCAGTTTGACTTCTGCTTGCACCACACACCTGGTCCTCATTAGTTAATCAGCACACCTGCTTTCTGCTTTTAGATACAAACAAGGTGATTTTGTTTACAGCCAACTTCGCTTTATTTTTGTTGAACCAGCTCTGTACTTGTCGTGCCATCATCTGGATTAGGTTCAGTGCTTCTGTTTTGTTCCTTTGCTTATTTAAAATAAAACAACATTTACTTGGACCACTCTGAACTTCTGCATTTGGCACCGTTGATCTTCTCCCTGAACTGCGACTAAAAGGTGTGACTATTCTAATGTTGTGCCGACTCCAACATCATAGCAGCTAATGGAGCGGCTCGTGTTTATTCACTTTCAGGACTTCCAGACCTTAAACGACTCAAGCAGACAGACCGATGTTGCGCCTCATTGCTGTTGCATAATCTTTGAGTATTTTTAGAAGAGAATCAATACCATCAGAATTTACTGACCGAGTGTTGAAATGATATTATTCATGTTCCAATTCACAATTGAAGACTGTCAAAAAGCATTCTGATGTGGTCTGGAAGTACTTTAATCTGGCCTAAAATAGGACTAATATGAAATCCAAGACTTCTGGAAAACGCTGTCCATGCTAACCACAGCTCAGACAGTTTGTGTGATCTGAGACAAAAAGATTTTTAAATCATTATTCAGCAACAGAAAATACTTTCCCCCAGTTTTTTGCTCTAATTCATCCCAGTCCTAATGGAACGGATACATTTATTGCGTCTCGCCTTCTTTTCACCATGTGACCTAAAGTTGTTTCTTTTGGCCTCATCGCTAAAAGAGCTTCTAACTGAATATGGGGTAACTTATTTAATGGAAATGGATGAAATGGGCAGAAGGACAAGGAAACGGTACCTTTACGCACCTGGTAGAGCTCAATCCGCTGTTCACTCCTTTTGGAACTGGAGTTTGGGATTTTCAGGGCTCGGAACTCCGCTCTGAAGAGGTTGGTGGAGTTTCTCTCCATGGCAGAGACATTGAAGCGGAAAATCTTGGAGCTGCCTTTAGGACAGTAGAACAGGTCGTCTGGAGTTGGGGAAAACAGAGAGAACCTACTTAGCATGGAGTGTCATGGAAAATAAACAAACATCAAATATGATCTGTAGGATTTGATACCTTTGAGTTTGATGGCGACCTTTTGTCATTAGGTCAACCTTGTCTGTCGGCAAAACATGTCAGGAAACAGATTTGAATGAAACTGGCAGGCCTTTTAAAGACCAAGTTCACTAGTTTTTTTTCTATACATTTCCTGTGGTTTCTAGTATAAATGGATGCTTTGTTAGCTGATCTGTTAAAGTTAAAGTCAAGTTAAAATCCCATTAGTTGTCACACACACTGATGTGTGTGTGAAATTTGTTCTCCGGATTTGACCCATCCCCTGGGGGAGCGGTGAGCTGCAGACACAGCCGCGTTCGGGAACCATTTGGTGGTTTAACCCCCCAATCCAGCCCCTTAATGCTGAGTGTCAAGCAGGGAGGCATTGGGTCACATTTTTTCAAAGTCTTTGGTATGACCCGACCAGGAATCGAACCCTGATCTCCCAGTCTCAGGGCGGACACTCTACCACTAGGCCACTGAGCTGTGTGGGGACAATAAGCGCTGGCGCTCCTGGTTCAGGAAGTAGAAGTTAGTCGGAGAAGAAGAAGCAGAAAACGGCAGGATTTGGAGTCGTACTCATTATTTACTGATATTTGGACATCTCTCCTCTGATTGGCTAACAACAACACCACTCTACCTCTGACGGTTTGCTTTGCAACATAACTGTTTTATCGACTTTTTTTCTCTCCTGGCAATCACAGAGTACAGACGCTTCTGCTTTTGCTCCCATATCTTTTTTCCCAAGGCTCTTTTGTCCTGTCTGCCTACAGAGCACTTCTCTGCATTTCTTCTGGAAATCCATATTTTTTAGAATGGATTTAATTAATTGGTCATTCAACGCGATTGATAAGATTTTTTCTACGATGAGAACGGAGGAGGGGGCTCCCACTTGCCCTCATGAGACGCACGCAGCGGGATATATGCTCGATTCCTGGAAGGAGGGGAAGATCATATGTCTCTCTCAGCTGTCCATTGAGGACGTCGAAGATATGTGGATATTTGGCCTGATGGTCACTGGATTTCTTCTGATTGGAGTGGGAGGATATCAGGTTTTCCGGAAAATTGGGAAGACGGGAGCGATTGGAGGGCGACCCGCACCCATGGACAGCATCGACCGGGAGGAGACCTCACAGACTGGGACGTTACTCGAGGTGAATCGTAAGCTGGACAATGTCTTAGATGGATGTCATCTCGGAGAGGGTCACCGGACGGTGTGGAGATGTTTAATAACCCGAATTGGCTTCACTGAAGGACTGGAATGACCAATTACAGACTGAAGGCAGAGGGGAACATTATCTTTGCCTGACCCAAACACAGTCTTGTTATCCTAATCTGACGCCAAGGCAGCCTTGAAGCTGCTAATAACAACCCCCACGAAGGAAGGAATGCAGACAGATGCTGTGGAAACTCAAATGTGCTCTGCGCTCCTCCCAAGATCTCTCTCCTTCCTGTGGATACAGCTGGCTGCATGAGCGCTACACATGGCTGCTGCCCCCCCACCCCCCACCCCCCCGCCTCCCTATCGGAGTCTCATGTTGTGAATGTGTAAGTTCGTGCTTATCTGTTTGAGGTGTTTTTTTGCATAGTACACCTACGCCCTGTCGGGAGTAACTCTGGTATGCCTCTTTTTCCCTCCCCCAACTTATCCTCATGTAATTCCCTTTTCATCTATTAAGGTAGCGCAACTCGTGTTGCGAATGACTGCAGTCACCAATTCTTGTCATGTGTCTTGCCCATGTATGTCTGATCTCTGAATTGTGTGTACTGAAACTCAGTTTCATTTCTCTGTATGTCTTGCACATGTGGTAGAATTGACAATAAAACAACTTTGACTTTGACTTTACTAATAACAGCAGACTAGCAATAGAGTTGCTAATGCTAACATTAGCTTCTACTAGCTGAGACATTCTCTGCTGTTTTGTGGATGCTAAACCAACAACAGTCCTCCCCGTTGCGAGCAAAGATGGTTGCGTCCATGAATACTAAGATCACAATGACAGATCTGAGTGGCTTTTTCTGATCTGAGTGTTTCTCCGTTTATTTTATCGGTATCTAATGAATAAAATGGGAGTAGAAGACTATTTGCATGTTCAGTCTGCATGTTGAACTTCTTGACCGATCGTATTTCAAGAATAGCAAACGGTAACAAACCTGCTCTTTTTAATGCCCATGAGAACAGATTTACTATGCATTAACAAAGGCCGCATCCCATTCCTGCAACTGTGCATGCTGGTTTGTCCTGTAAAACTAAGCTGAACTGATTCTGGATGGAATGCAGCCTGAAATTACTGCTGCTCTTTTAGTTTTATTTCTTTAACCTTTATTATCCTTTCTAGCCATTTCCAGTTTATTCTGGAAGCCCTTTTCTGTGTGTTCAGTCTTTTGGCCATTAAAACCCATCAAGACAAAAAAACATCGTTTTTAATTTGTTAAATATTCCGTTTTTGCTATTGAAACAGTTAAACGATAGTGGCTCATACTCTTTAGCATGTAAGAATTTGTGATAAACATGAAAACACAATTTATCAATCTAACTTTGCAACATCGAATGATTTAGACGCAAGGGTGCCCAATCCTGGTCCTGGAGGGCCGGTATCCAGCAGGTTTTGTGGTTTTTCTGCTCCAACAGACTTGATTCAGTGGTTGAATCACCTGTGCAGCAGCTCATCAGGCTCTGCAGAAGCCTGTTAATTAGCTGCTGATTGAAATCAGGTGTGTTGAAACAGAATTCAAACTAAAACATGCAGGACACCGGCCCTCCAGGACCAGGATTTGGCACCCTTGATTTAGAGACAGTAGCAGCTCTAGCTTGAACTATTTTGGATAAAAATATACCAAACGAAACAAAATGCCTCAAACTAAAGCCTAAAATTATTAGTGCAAAAATTAATAATAATAATAATAATAATAAACCTTTTTGCTTAAAATTAAAGTGTCACAAGTTCATTTAGTTTCATTTAGTTTAGTTTAATTTAGTTTCATTTAGTTAAAAAAATCATATAGTTGGATTGTAACCATTCTGATATCTAAGTTGACCAAAATTTCACAGCTAAATGTTTTAAACTAAATATGTGTGTTTCCATTACCAGAACTTCAGGGTAAAGTTACAGAAACCTCCCAACATGCACGTGTCTGCACTTGACTGGGCCGACTGAACGGCCATTTTCAGGAGAGCTCCTGAGTACCTGATCAGGGGTAGGCCCCTGGTAAATGGCCTGGGGCAGTTGGTGGGCGGGAATGCTTTTTAACTCTGTTGGATATGACGCCAACTTTCTAGGAAATGCATACGGCATTTAGGAAAACACAAGTTGTTGGTGTTTTTGCCGCGTTTTGCGTGTCTTGCTCCAGTCGATGACATGACTCACAACGATGACGGCTAAGAGAACCGGGCCTTCTGATCTTCGGTCAGTTTCCCATCGCTGCATTTACCCTGAAGTTCCGGTAATGGACACCCTCACCTATGAATCAAGCCTGAAAGCACAACATTTTTTATTAATGTCATTGAGATTAACTCATTAACTTTAATTTCTTTTCCAAAATCAACATTTGATTTAATTTTCATGGAGAATTTACAAAAGTTCAGTTAGATCCTGCTTTATTCACCTGCTTCGTATTGCAGGCTTAAACGTCACTGTCATGTGACCATTTAGAAACGGTGATATATGCATTTATAATTTCTCATCTGGATTGTTGTAATTCTCTCTATGCTGGAATGAATCAAGCTTCAATATCCAGACTACAAATGGTCCAAAGTTCAGTCACTAGGTTTCTGAGGGGGGCCAGAAGAAGGGAATATATCACTCCTGTACTGTCATCCCTGCATTGGCTCCTATTTGTTTTATTTATTTATTTTAGGTTCTTGTTTTTGTTTTTAAATCACTGCTGGGAACTGCACCAACATCTGTGTAATGCTCTAGCCCAGAACGATCCATCACGGCCACTTAGATTCTAATACAATGGACCTTTTGAAAGTTCCAAAGGTAAATCGGGTCACCAGAGGTGAGCGGACTTTTTCATTCCTGAGACCCAAATTATGGAATGGTCTCCCGCTGGTGGTTAGGCAGGCTCCATCACTGGATGTTTTTAAGAGTAGATTAAAGACCCATTTTTTTGTTTGGTTTTCTGCAGGAGTTGGGGTGAGTCTTGTTTTATTCTCTGTATTTTATTGTCTCTACTGCTATTGTCTGGGTATGAGATGGGTTTTATATTTTCTTAGATTTTACTATTTTTTTATCTTTTTATTTTATTTTACTTATTTTTAACAAAATGGTAAAAAGGTTATTTGATTTTAATTGCATCATGTAAAGCACTTTGGGCATGATAAGTGTAAGAATGTGCTTTATACATGAATGATGATGGAATCTCTGACCTCCAGACAACTATATATTTTTTCATCAATATCTGATTTAATAACAGAGCATTTATTTTCTGCAGCAGCTCCACAAAGCTGCACTGATCTGAGATCAGGTTGCATCTGAGCTCCTAACAAGTCCTGTGATGTAAAAACACTTTTAGACTGACCATTATAGCCTCCGAGGTGACTTCTTACCAAAAAAGCTGCAGGAATGTTTTTAAGAAGCTGATTCAAAACCACATTGTACACGCAGCACAAAGGCGGGTACAGACACTGGACCAGAGATGTCCCAGACTGACCTGAGGGAAAAGAATGTCGTAAAAAATGTACAATGAATCCACTTTATGGTGTTTACACAGGTGGAGGGAGGCCAAATCGCACCTGAAATAGGGTTTTGGGGGTTTGGTTGAGAAAAAAACGAAATATAACTGTTTACTTTAGGTATTCACACAACAGATTTACTTTTATTTGTCCTCGTTTCTGCTTCTCATCCAATCAGAGGTGATTATATTAAAATAAATCCTTGACATGTTTGGGGGGGGGGGGGGGGGGGGGGGGGGACAAATATGTCTTGCATATTTTTTTGCCTCCGGCTCATTTTCTAAATTAGCACCAGGTCGCCATCTTTGTCCAAAACAGAACGGTGCTGAGGGAAGCTCAGCTTTTGGGAAACACCTGTTGATTTCAAAGAGATGATGACGCAGTAGTCTGGACACACACACACACACACACACACACACACACACACACACACACACACACACACACTTGTCCTTTTCAATAAAACCACATGCTGCTTGAATCATTTTCAAATATTGACACATGTCCCCAAGGTTTTTCCACTTCCTGTTTAGGATTTTATAATGGAGAAACAACATAAGATGTGACATCATCCGTCAAAAACATGCTCTGACTTTGATTTGAGCATCTTTAAAGCCCCCCCTGAGAGGAGGTTGGCTAAGGAGATCCATGTCTCCTTGTTAACGAGGAGGTCCCAGCTATCATTCAGCTCCTCCTGTTAACTTTTCCTACTTTCTTTGCCTAAAGGCATCCCGATCCGCCTGGGCAGATGTCCCTCTCATTTAGGCCTGACTGGAAAGGAAATGGGAACATCTGGAAAGTGGAACATGATCCATAAAAGAGGGGAGGGGGAAAATAAAAGAAAATCAGGAGGGGAGAGGAGAGGGTAGTAGTAAAAGGGGGACTGACCTTCCTGGAACACAGGTTGAGTCTTTAAAGCAGGTTGGAGAGCCAATCAGAAGGCTCAGCTGGCAGGTTTTAACATTACATTGTGTGTGTGTGTGTGTGTGTGTGTGTGTGTGTGTGTGTGTGTGTGTGTGTGTGTGTGTGTGTGTGTGTGTGTGTGTGTGTGTGTGTGTGAATGACTGTATTGTGAAGCGCCTTGGGGGGTTCCGGGACTCTAGAAGGTGCTATATCAAATACAGGCCATTTACCATTATAAATTACACTCGTGTTTCTTGTTGGTGTGAGTTTTGTTTACTTTTTATTCTCTTAGTGTATATTTGGTTTTATAATAATTTGATGTCAGTATTTGGTTAAATAAAGATTTACATTGTTTGGCCACTATTACAAGACAGAATTGTTTTTATTCTAGTGACATGCTTGGGCATCGGTTAGAAAATATTCCCAGCTTGGCACATAAAAGCGCTCCGGTGCGTAATTACGCATTTGGAGACGCTGAAAAGCCTAAGTTCACAGTTGCCTGCTTTAAAAGGACATAACTTACTGTTTTCCGGTGGTCCGTACATCATGCTGAATTTATACACCTCCTTGGCATAATATTCCGTCTCTGTGTTGTCCTGGCCGCAGCTCTGCTTCCGATCCCTCCCCAGCTGCTCCAGTAGCTCCTTCGTGCTGTTGTACAGCGCCTGGATCTGATACGGGACTTTGTTCGGTCCCAGGGAGTGCGGGGGGCTCGTCAGCCGCAGTTTGCTCAGAATCTGACCTCGTATCGCCTCGACCCGCTTCCTCTTCACATGGTCGAGATCCACGGTGGCGCAAGTGGACAGAGGTGAGCTCAAAGTAGCGCAGTTGACGAGGAGGACAACTAGCAAAGCCTTACCCAGATGCATCTCTCTGCACGCATTTGACTCTGGAGGCAAATACTAAAGATGCGTCTTAAAGATTAATAACCAACTCCAGTCTTTCTTGGTTTCACTGGAAATCCAAATGTGCGCCCTCCCATCAAAGATCTCTCAATTTAAAGTCTTAAAACAAGATCTCCCGAGTTTATAAACGTCATATTTCTGCAGAGAGGAAAAAGTGTCTCATTCTTAAGTCGTCCCGCTGCTCGGCATGGTCTCCTCTCCTCTGTGGCATCAGAGTCTCTTGATTATCTCTGAGTAGACAGACCGCAGCCTGTCACGTTACCGACGTCAAAGCGGCTCTGAGCCGCAGATATGGCCTCGTGTGAGTTTTATAGGCTTCCTGACGTTTGATGGAGGAGGGACTGCAGCCGAATTACTCAGGGCCCACTGGACAACAGAATGGGAATAATAACCAGTCCCTATTAAAGTGGGACCGGTGTCAAGTCAGCCTCCAATTCCAGCATTGCAGTCAAGCCAGCCTCAAGTTTGTTTTCTCTTTCCCGTCTATTCAAGCGATTACGGGAATGGATGTGGAAACCGGATTTCAAAATAAAATTCAACTTCGAGTGAATTATCAGATATTTTAAGAACATAATAACAAATAATTTAGGCTTGTTCACTATTAGCACCCTGTCAATATCAAGGCCATCTTATTTTGGATTTCAAAGTAAAAGCCCTGTGAATTTTCATTTTTGAACTACTCTTTCAATTACTTCAGAATGCTCTTCAAAGCAAAAGTCATATTTCCAAAGAGTAGTTGCATTTTGTATCAACACAATCAAACCACAGCAATTTGAAGTTGTCCACATTTGACCGACTCTTTTAACGATTTTAAAATGCTCTAAAATGGAAAATTGCTGTTTCCACAGGGTACTTCCACTTTAGATCAACAGTATACAACCCCATAGTGATACCATATCAATATCACGTCATTCTGATGTTGCCTTCCAAAATAAAGGCCTTTTTAAATTGCCCATATACGACCAAACTTTCAGTGATTTCAAAAGGCTCTAAAATGGAAAATTGCTGTTTCCACAGGGTAATTCCACTTTAGATCAACAGTATACAACCCCACAGTGATACCATATCAATATCAAGTTATTCTGATTTTGTTTTCAAAAATAAAAGCCCTTTCAAATTGTCCATAATTGACCTACCTTTAACGATTTCAAAAATAAAACACAGAAAACAAGCAATGATATAACACAGTACACAACAGCAAGTATCACAGCCACAACCTATAAGTATAAGTAACAGTAGATAATAAATATTGGTGTCAGCACGGCCCCTGCCGAGAAACATTATCATCTACATGTATTTAAAATTGAGACGTGGGCACCGACAACTTGGGAGAGGTTGAAAACACAGTCCATCCCTTGTACGCCATTCAGCATGCCCAGCACAAGTGATGATGTATACATTGTGGAATAAAATTGAGGTACAGGTGGTCGGAAGGGGACACAGCAGGAATGTCTCACACCCACCTCAGTGAAACAACTGTACGCCAAAGCCCTGCATGTGTGGCGGTGTGATAGAGTGGGGATGAGGAGGGGAGGGAAGTGAAGGCAAAGTACTCTCTCGTGTGGCCAGGTCCCCCGCTGACCCAAGTAGGCACCCCTGGAAGCCACAAATGCCCATCTGGATGGGGGCCTACATTAGCACCACCACAGAGTCCCAGGGATTCTGGGGTGGTGGGTGCTCATCGTAACCCACCACAGAGGAAAATACATCCACCCAAACATTCAATAATCTCTCTGACTGCATAAGACAAAAGACACCACGCCTGAGTTTATTCTCCAACTCTGTACTAATTTTAAAGTTACTTATTGTCTTTTTTGGGTTTTAAATGTGGTGAACACCTGACAAAGTAAAAAGAAAAAACAATACAAGACTGTTATAAATTGAAGGGCCTTGGAGATGTCATTCAAACTAACACCAATGCAGATCAAAACATACATGTGAGTAACAGAAAGAATGAAAAAAACATTTCAGAATAATTCTAAGGTGGAATTACCCTTTGAAAACAGAAATTAATCTTTTAGAGCATTTTGAAACTGTTCCAGGAATAAGTCTGATGTGGGCAGTTTGAAAATGCTTTTATATTTGAAAGCAAAATCAGAATGACTTGATATTGATATGGTATCACTGTGGGGTTGTATACTGTTGATCTAAAGTGGAATTACCCTGTGGAAGCAGCAACTTTCCATTTTAGAGCATTTTGAAATTGTTAAAGGTAGGTCAATTATGGACAGTTTGAAAAGGGCTTTTATTTTTGAAAGCAAAATCAGAATAACTTGATACTGATACAGTATCAATGTGGGGTTGTATACTATTGATCTAAAGTGGAATTACCCTGTGGAAACAACAATTTTCCATTTTAGAGCATTTTGAAATCACTGAAAGTTTGGTCGTATATGGACTATTTGAAAGGCCTTTATTTTGGAAGGCAACATCAGAATGACTTGATATTGATATGGTGTCACTGTGGGGTTGTATACTGTTGATCTAAAGTGGAATTGCCCTGTGGAAACAGCAATTTTCCATTTTAGAGCATTTTGAAATCGTTAAAGGTAGGTCAATTGTGGACAATTTGAAATGCCTTTATTTTGGAAGGCAACTTCAGAATGAATTTATATTGATACAGTATCACGGTGGGGTTGTATACTGTTGATCTAAAGTGGAATTACCCTGTGGAAACAGCAATTTTCCATTTAAGAGCATTTTGAAATCGTTAAAAGAGTCTGTGAAATATGGGCAATTTCAAATTGCTGTGGTTTGATAGTGTTGATACAAAATGCAACTACTCTTTGGAAATATGACTTTTGCTTTGAGGAGCATTCTGAAGTCATTGAAAGAGTAGTTTAAAAATGAAAATTCACAGGGCTTTTACTTTGAAATCCAAAATAAGATTGTCTTGATATTGACAGGGTGCTAATAGTGAACAAGCCCAAATTATGTGTTATTATGTTCTTAAAATATCTGATAATTCACTCGAAGTTGAATTTTATTTTGAAATCCGGTTTCTGCATCCATTCCCATAATCACTTGAATAGACGGGGAACAGCAAACAAACTGGAGGCTGGCTTGACTGCAATGCTGGAATTGGAGGCTGACTTGACACCAGTAAAGTGGGAAGGGGGAGAAAAAAAATAAACTAATGACTATATTGTGTTTTTAATCATTTTAAATTGACATTCCTTTTTGAACTTCAAGTCTGATTTTCTGATGTTTTAAAGATGTTATAAAAAGCTTTTATGTGTTAATCCCACAGATTTTCAGTTTCTTCAAATTCTCCATTTACCAGTGCTGCTGTGTTCCGGATTGTGCGCCCTCTAGTGGCAATCAATTGCACCTGTCTACTTTGATAAGAAGTAAAGAACATCTTATAAAAATTAGAACATCATGAAAATGTTAAGGATTTTTCGTCACTTAGTCCATAAATTAAAACTCAACAGGGGTTTGCCCACATAGATTTTAACAGACCCACATTGGTTTACAAAAGGATCCAGATGGGTTGACTTAAACTTGGGCTTGTTAAAATCCATGTGGGGCCACCATGGAAACCACAGACAAACCCCATTGGCACCCATAAGGTTTGCCCATATATCCATATGGGGCCCACCAATGCATGCTAGCTGGTGTGGATGCTGATGGCTTAAATGCAAATTAGAATATAGTGAAACTCATGATGTCACAACTTAATCGGCTAATTAACTCAAACATCTGCAGAGGTTTCCTGAACCTCTGCATGGTCTCAGTGTAGGCTACATGGAGAAGACTGCGGACCTGGCGAATGTCCAGAAGACACCGTCCACAAGGAAGAGATGCGAGTTGCTCCAGCAACTGGGAGAACTGCAGCTCTGAATGGATTTTTGAGCTAAATCCAATCTAGGATTTGTGGGAGCTTCACAAGAAGCAGACTGAATAGTTGGAGCATCAAGAGCCACTATGCCTCCTTCACATAGGCTATGGATGTCACAGGAGGGGAAAAAGACCAGGGGCCTCATTTATCAAGCTTGCTTACGCACAAAACGGGGTCGGAAAACTGCGTAAGCAACTTTCCACGCAAACTTTGGGATTTGTGAAAGAAAACTTAGTGGAAAAATGTGCGCAATTTTAAGTTGACTAAGGACCTGGCTTACGCACATGTTGGACATGGAGAGCACCTACAGTGCTGCTGCTGAGAAGATACAACTATGAAATCCTGCAGCATTATCACTTGTACTGCTTCGTTTTCACACAGAACAAGACCCCCCACACGCACACACGCGTGCGTACACACACACGTGCGTGCACACACACACACACACACACACACACACACACACACACACACACACACACACACACACACACACACACACACACACACACAGCCTGAAGCGCAGAATACGTAATGCAGAATATCAGCAGGGGGACAGACTGAGACAGAATGTCATGCGTCTGTGACAGTGTGTGTCCTGTCACTGTGACCTGATTGATCATGCACCCTGGCTTCTTGTACAGGGGAGATCTCCGTTTGGATGACTGGTTAGCACGCGTGACATTCACCTGGGAGTCTGGGGATTGAATCCTGATGGGAGCATTCTTTTATATCTGCACAGATCTCTCTGAAGAACTCAGCATTGACGGCTTCAGCAACGCTGTGCCACTCCGTGGATTTTCTCTTATTTGTTTTGCAAAAGCACTTCCTTTCATTTCTCCACCTCACCCACAGGTGCCTCAACTTCTGCTTCTGTGAAATTGCGCTTCCTTGATCTGCCTTGATCTACGGTCACCATGTCATTGGTGGAGCGCTGCAACAGCCGGCTTATGTATATGCATGAGATCCACAAGGCACTTTGCATTGACTATTTATGGCAGAAAGTGGGCGTGGTGAGGGCGGGATGTGACTAAAATGTAGCTGAGAAACTTTCTAGATAGTTTCTGATTTATGAAGCGGAGATTGCGTGCAGCTGTGCGTTCTTCATGTTTGATGGATCACAAACCTGCTTGGTACTGGAGAGGAGGGTCCGATCGATAGTTGAATCTCAGATAGAGGAGGAGCAATGTGGTTTTCGTCCTGGCCGTGGAACTGTGGACCAGCTCTATACCCTTGCAAGGGTGATGGAGGGGGCATGGGAGTTTGCCCAACCAATCCACATGTGCTTTGTGGATTTGGAGAAGGCTTATGACCGTGTCCCCAGGGGCACCCTGTGGGGGACGCTCCAGGAGTATGGGGTGGGTGGCTTTCTGTTAAGGGCCATTCAGTCCCTTTACAAGAGGAGCGTGAGTTTGGTCCGCATAGCCGGTAGTAAGTCGGACCTGTTCCCAGTGAGGGTTGGACTCCGCCAGGGCTGCCCTTTGTCACCGGTTCTGTTCATCACTTTTATGGACAGAATTTCTAGACGCAGCCGTGGTGTGGAGTGTGTCGAGTTTGGTGGCAGGAGAATCTC